TTTCTTTTTACTATACCATAATGAATCAAGCTGTAGTAAGGCACAACTACGTAACACAGTTAACACCAATTTTTCTCAAATTCACCTTTTTTTTTTTGTTGTTGCAGTTTTTGGCCAGGGCTGGGTTTGAACCTGCCACCTCCAGCATATGGGGCTGGCGCCCTACTCCTTTGAGCCACAAGCACCACCCCCTTTTCATGTTTTTTTTCTTGTTGGAAATTTTACTGGTGCCTAAATTCTGGGGTCTACAATCACTGGCTTAGCTTACGTTTAAGGATGGGGTTAAACTAGTAGTGAACAGAGGCCACAGATCAAGAACCCAGGACTGTAAATTTGTGTGGGTGCTGCTTTGTCATAGGTAGTAGTCAAGCCATAAAAGGCCCTGGGCCTTGTCTGCAGGGCAGCCAGGAAGGGGGGACTGGAGCAGAGGCATTGCACCGGGCGGGAGAGTAGAGACAGGAAGGAGCAGCTGTGTCCGGGGGCTCACGTGTAAGGGCAGAAAGGTGGTTGGTCTGGCCCATACCTACAAGGTAAGCTCAGACCGAGCAGGCAGAAGTCACACCCTCCCGCTCCAGTTCCCTTCAGCTTTCTGGCCTGTTAGGGACTTGGACTGTGCCTGTGATGACTCTGTAGTTAAACTGCTGAAATCAGAGGTGCTGGAATTTGGTAATCAGTGTACTTATACCTCATGACATGTAGTGTTCCCTTTGTAAGGACCATTAATTGACTATTTATAAAGTTCTCTGGGAAAAAATATTTGTGGTGATTTTTTTTTTTTTTCCATTCTTGGGGATTCATTGAGGCTACAGAGAACCTGGTTAGATTGATTGCATTTGTTAGGTAAAGGCCCTCTTATAAGTGTGTCTCACCCCCGTGGTGATTTTTTATATTTGCATTTTATTCTAAACAAATTATTATTCATAAAGGGTTCATACAACAGTATCTGAAAAGTCGATGTAATTGCTGATTACTTACATTTGTTTCCAAAATTGATATAAGACACATTTTTGAACCATAGAAACAAATGTTTCTGCCACCCAATTTCAATCAACTGCAACTTTGTGGCAATTTTTCCTCTAGTGCCACTTGAAAATGCGTATATCTAACACCTCCATTAAATTCTCATATTCAGAAGAAAATAATATTTGTGGTGATTTTAAGAGATTTAGGGAAGGGTGAAAGTAGGACTTTGCCGAGGTGCAGAGAGAGAAAGCAGTGTTGAGGCTGGGTAGATAAGGAGATTTGCCCAGGCTTGGTGGTGTGCAGGGCACTGGGCTGGCAGTGTCGGTAAGTGCCAAAACGAAATGCGCCTGGGAGAAAGGAATCACTTTAAGAACGTACTTTTAATGGAGTTTGGATGAAAGTGGTGTCCCAATTAATTTGTAAAGTGCAATCATTGTTTCAGACGTAGCGTGGCAAACCTCTTAGTGCTCGCCAGTTAATAGCATCAGTGTTAGGGTTTGTTGACATGCAGTTAAGCCATTTGAGTGGCATAGAGCGCTAGGGAGATAGTTTAATGCACTTTGAATGTCAGAAAAATTGTTCATCACAGGGTCATTTATACTTTTGGCTTAAAAATCAATCTAGATTTTAGTGCTTTTTCAGAGTTACTGGTACCCAGGAATCCCTAGAAAAGTGGAGTAGGACATATGAAAGGTTGAATGAGGGGCCTCACAGCAAACAATAAGCTTGTCAATGGTCTGTGAGCTCTTACATCTGTCTAGACTTGGGGGAGGGGTAGCAAGCTGATAGAAGGATGTGGGTGTGAAAGGAATATATGCTAAATCTATTACTTGTAATTTAATTCAATGTAGTTTGAGCTCCAGCTATTTCTCATAACGAAGTCCTTCTGCAAAGCTCTGTGGGTAACTGATTAGCTCCCTGCTGCCGTGGAATCAGCCTAGCTTACCCCAACCTCAAACTCCTGGACTTAAGTGATCCTCCTGTCTCAGCTTTCTGAATAGGTAGGACTACAGGTGCCCACCACAACACCTGGCTAAGTTTTCTGTTTTCAGTAGACACTGAATCTTGGCTCAGGCTGGTCTCGAACTCCTGAGCTCAAGGAATCCTCCCACCTCCAGCTCCCAGAGTGCTAGGATTACACATGTGAATCACCATTACTACCAAGGATGAGACTTCTTTGAAGGAGTTCATTTGTATGTACAAAACCTGGTTTTAGGGAAGCCCTCAAGGGTCCATTTGAGTATCATTTTTAATCGTAACTGCTAATTTACTGTAAGTAACCCTAGATTAATTTAAACATGGATCGAAAGATTAAATAAAATGTTTTAATTTGCTAAGAATCTGGTAGCCTTAAGGGCGGTTTGTACATGTCATCCTCTCTGTGGGGTGCTGGGCTCTTAAACCTACAAAATGTGGTCAACACAAAAATATTCACACCTACCCCCCAGGAAAGGCTTCCAAACCCCTCCACAGCATCTCCCTGCTGCTCGCCCTCCGCCACACACAGGTTCACTTTCCATCCTGGCTGCTCAGCCTCCCTATTTTCCATGCCCTGATGACTACACAGACTCGGGCTGTGCGTCCTCCCTCCTTTCGGGTCTCTCCTTGTAGAGAGTCTCTCTACACGTTTCCTGTAGGTTTGTGTGTCTACCCTGGGTCTTATTCCCCCATGTAGGCTCGTTACCATGAGAAAGTATGTAGCTTAGCTGTTTATCCCCCTCCTTTAGAGGGTACCTGCCCCACGAGCAGAGGTTTTCTTCTGCTTAGAGTTGTAGCCACAGGGTTCACAGTAACACCTGGCATGTAGTAAGTGCTCAGAATAAATGCAGAAGAAAAGATGCCACACGTGAACTTGGTTACACATCTGTAAGCAATATTTAAAAGACACAGTAGATGTGATTTTAAGCAATATTTTTCCTAGACTTTGTTTCTAGCTGAAAGTGTGTGCCTCTTGTACTAGTGTTTATTTATCGTGCTTATTAGCTTACTGGTTTAATTTCGCATTTTCTCTCTTTTATACTCCTGTGATTTTTGTCACCTCAGGTGACTTTCACCTTATCCATGGAGTTTAAAAATAATCTTTTGTACCTCTGGCAGTGATCTTTGCCGTATCAACCAAAGGCCTTTTATGCAGCTAATCGTGCTCTAAGTCAGTTTCCTCTCTGTCCATCAACAGTCTCTCCATGAATTTGAGTTCTGCCTTCTAAGTACTGTCACGCTCTTCATGCTTTGTAACCTGCCACTGTCTCTTACAAGGATTTGCGGTCCTTATTTCTGCCCTGTATCAAAAAAGGAATCAAACCTTGACTCAATTTAAAATGTTGGGGATTCTAAACACACGCTGGAGCCCAGCCCCGTCTGCTGTCCTCTGCTTGATTGCTCACACCATCCCCAAATCAGCTTCAGGTTTGTGGGGTCACATGTGCTTGTTAGCAGTTCCTGAAACGTATGTCTTTTCTTACCATTTTAAACACACCCGATACCATGGTTATGACTTACTAGTTGGAAATAGCTACCGTGTGTGAGCTTGCCTTCACTTATTCTTTCTCAAATAAAATGACCACAAGAAACATTAAGCCAGGAAACAAGGTTATTTAAATGCTTTGGGGAGTCTGAATCTTTTCCATCCTTAGAAATGGAAAAGAAATAAAGGCTTGTCTTCATGTGCCTTCCTACAGTAACAATGGACCGACTCACCGAAGCGCACCTGCCAGAACCTGCACGCGGCTCTTTAAGCTTTGCTGGAACAGCTGCCTGAAAAATGCATTTGTACAGCAGGTTTCGAGAATTATTTGTAACCTATGAGTAAAAAGTTTACCTCGCCAGTAAAGTATAATAAAAGGTTACTTTAAAAAAACCTTAAAATAAAAACCTACAGGGTGGTTCACAGAGTTGCTTTACCTGGGCAGTGTGGCCCTATGGTGCCATATGCTTTAAAATAACTGCCTTGCCTTGCAGTTAGGAAATGAAATCAGCTATTTGACCAGTTAAAATATGTAAGGTTTCAAGTTAATTTATTTTCATAAGGGAAAAATAATATATCCACTGTATTTTAGCAGG